GAAGAAACGTCCGCTTCTCCGTCCTCTGATCTGATTATCTTAAATGGTGTGATTACACAACATGCATTTAAGTCTAGTTCCTAATTTCACTGGACATTGGTAACTGTTCATTTTTAACTATAAGAACATTCCTGCATAAATGAGATCTGAATAATATAGAGGTAAATAATCAAATTACAGTAATCATTTATAAGTTCATAATTGAAATAGGAAAATAATAGATCCTTTAAGAACAACTCTGATCACAACTGACCCTGTGAGGTACGTACACTGGTTGAATTACCGGACTTGCAACTGGAGTCAGCACAGCTAAAAATACTTATAAGAATACTCTCCTATCACTAATTGAGAAAATACCTACGGAAAGTTGGTATTGCGCTGACGAGGGCAGCCAAAGCGAGGAAGAAAAGTAGTCGAAGCATAGGAATAAAAATTTAGGAGATTTTGATGTAGCGAATGTGGAAGGCGACATTTTTTCGCCTTAAATATACTTTAAAGGTCATCGTATACCTCACCCGACTGCAAAACATTGGTAGTACGCGTGACATAAGGTGATGATCACTCGGCAAAAGGAATAAGAAAACCGGTCAAACTATAACATCGGAGAAAACAAACATCACCGAATATTTGTGATGAAAAATATAAATACATGACATCACGGCGACGTTACTACATTGCAAACCATTAGAAATTGAAGTTATAAGGAAGGATTGTTATGTCATATCAAATCACCGATTTACTGTCTAATGTCAAATCAAAATTGTAATTATCTAAACCCATAGTACAGTATAAGGAAAGCTTATGTGAAGAAGTAATTGGCAGAGTTTGAAAGATCTTTTTTGATGCGATTCTCCATTAAATGTGCAATCTTTCTTACGTGGGAGGGATACCCAGTTGAAGTGGCGGTTTAAAAAATGATGAATAATAGTAGGGGCAGTTTGGAACGTTGAGTCCAAATTTGTTTTTTTGTGCTTGCGAAACAATTCTCTCGGAGAAATTGTGAAAGCTTTTCGCTTAAGAATAGCTTGCGAGTGTAGAAAATGCCTAAAACTTCTAATTTCACAAGAGCACAAAGGCTGAATGTTATGTGTTTTTATCAAATAAAACCTACTTAGATAGTCTTTAGGTTGAGTTCGTTGTTGAGTTCAAGTGTTAATAGGTCGTAAAGGCTGTTTCCGGCAAAACCCTCCATAACTTTTTTTCAAAAAATGCTTCCCGAACATCGGCGACAGATTTGGTTTCGTCGTTTCACATGCGTCTATCTACATATATGAGTTTCCAAACTGCCAACATTAGGTATCCTTCCTTTTTAAAGTGAGCAATGTAAAGATGATAAATCACGATAAATCATACCCTTAATTGAACTATATTTTATGCATGTCATAAAGGTTTTCATCCTCCTTTCTTGATCATCCCCTAGGAGCATGATTCTCTAGCACTTAGTTATTGGACAAATTAATAAATAAGCGTAATTGCCTTGAATTATTAGCTAAAATTCTGCTACTTTCAATGCAATAAGCTCTTCATATACTCCCAAATATTTGTAATGCAAAGAAAACCTCAAAGATGGCATCTAATAAAGAGTGAAAGGTGATCATCTTGTCTTTTGGTCCTCGAAATCCCAGAAAGAATCCTTTTTTTCCACTATCAAATTCAGCTC